CAGTCGACCCCCGATAACTGCCGCTTTCGCACGTGCGTGTTTCCTTCGGACCCGTTCCACTACGTGTACGTACCGCGAAAGAGTATAAAGGGCGGGTACACCGATCGAGACGTACCAGTCATTCGGTTGTAATGGTATCCGGCGCACGCTGCTCTATAGGGCGCAAACACGCCGCCGTGTTAAAGGCTATTTGCCATCTGGAAACAGCGTAGCGCTTTGTTACGAGTGGCCGACTCGCGACTCGTCAACTGTATATGCGAATGTGCTTTGAATATTCTTCGCGGTAACGTGCCTCTCAAGCCAACACAAAAACGTCGCTTACGAAAACACGCATCGCTGTTGAGACGTTTATCGAGACCGGGTTCAGCCGTCAAAACTAGAAAACGTCTTATCGTTCAGAGCGGTGGTTTTTTACCTCTCCTGCTAGCACCCATACTGGGCACCGTCATATCGAAACTTATAGGGGGAAGTGGATAGGGGTATACGTCGCGAGGAGAGAGAGAGAGAGAGGGATCGAGATGGAGCATGCCAAAAAGATGGTTCTCATCCGTCAGAAGAGCGTGAAGCAGCAGCACTAGCGCTCAATGCCTCATACACCTCACCAACACCACCAGCAGCAGGAGCAGGGTGTCGACACCGTGAACACCGTGCAAACCCCAGGGACCCCCTTAAGCAAATTAGACGCATCCATGAAGGAGATCCTACACTCGCCGAATCTCATCGACGAGCGCGAAAAGTGGAAGATGTACAATCAGGTGCTGCAGCGTTATCTACACTTTATCGAGGATCTGCGAAATAACGTCGACGAGGATGGGCGCGCCGATAGCGATAATAAGAAAAAAAATAACAATTCTGCGGAGGATAATGTCAAGAGCTTGACCGACGATGGCGACGACGACATCATCGCCAGCGTACCCCAAAAGTACAGAGCTAAGGCTAAGCTCTTACTAGGAAGGCTGCGCAACGCTGGTTCGCCACGCATCTTGTGGAGTAAACAGAGCGTTACGCGTATCGGTGGAGCCGTCGTACAGGACGCCAACATCGTGGATTTAATCAACGACGCTATGCGCGAGAGAAAAACAGCGAGACTGGCGGGGAGTCGGCAGTTTGCGCGGTTCCTCCGTACTGCTGGTATACCGCGCGAATTTATTGGTAATCAGCGTCTATGGAGGGAAGGGAGCATCACGGGGTCTCCCGGTAATCAGACACAGCGCCGTGTAACAATCGTGCCGCGCCCTATCGAGTCGACTAAGAGCTCGTCTACAGAGGAGGAGGAATTCGGCGAGGCGCTTCAGGAAGTGCTTAGAGAGTCCGGGGAAGAAGAGCTCGTGGGGAAAAAATATACGCGATCTGTGTCGGCTAGTACAGCCAGCGATACCGAGAAAAAGAAAAGATTAGTATGGTTAAGGCTGCCGTGAAACGGAAGAAGAAAAAGATATCAGCTGATGATAGCCTTCTGAGGCGTCTTTATTACACGTCTGCAGAACCGTCTTCGTACAACGGTATCAGTAACCTACAGCGAGCGGCTAAGGGGAGGGTAAAACGAGATTCCGTTGTGTGTTGGTTAGAGGCGCAGGATGTGTATACGTTGCATAAGCCCGTACGTCGCACGTTTCAGCGCCGCTCTTACGCCGTCAGCAATATCGACGACGTCTGGGAGGCCGATCTTGTGGACCTACGCTCCTTGAAGGAGTACAACGATGGTCACACGTATATCCTTGTAATAATCGATGTGCTCAGCAAATACGTTTGGGTCGATCCTTTACGCGATAAGTCCGGTGCAACGGTAGCAGCGGCATTCCAGAGGGTTCTGGTGCGTAGTAAGAATAGGATACCCGTGTACCTACAGACAGACAAAGGCAAAGAGTTTACCAATGGCGTACTGCAGCGTCTGCTCGAGGAGCTCGGCATAAGATTCCGCATAGCGCGCAGCCCCGACGTGAAGGCTGCTGTCGTCGAGCGCTACAATCGTACTCTGAAGGAGCGTATATGGCGTTACTTTACACATAGAAACACGCGGCGATACATAGATATTCTTCAAAATCGTTTCTGATTCCTCGTGGAATCGTACAATCGGACGCGCCACTCTGCGATAAGAATGCGCCCGGTTGACGTAACCCTGTATAATACCGCTTAGGCTCGTATGAACCTAACTATGAGGTACGCATCAGCGAGCCCGCGTATCCCTAAATACGATGTTGGCGACCTGGTACGCATCAGTAGCGCTAGGAACACTTTTGCGAAAGGTTACGCGGGTGGGTGGACTCGAGAGATTTTTAAAATCGTACGCCTAGGTACAACGAGGGAAGCACCCGTCTACATCTTAGAAGACCTCGCCGGCGAGGAGATTGACGGTATTTTTTACGAGGAGGAGCTCGTTCGAGTCTGCAAGGACCTCGCAAAGGACGCGTTTCTCGTCGATCGTGTAATAAAACGAAGCGGTCGTGGGAAAGCCCAAAAAGTACTGATCAGCTGGGTCGGTTACCCCGAGAAATTTAATTCGTGGATACCGGCATCCCGCTTAAAGAATAATGAAGGACCAGTTTTATCTCGTTCTGCCCAGTAACAGCAGTATGTCGTACTATCCCGAAAATAAAACTACCAGTTTTACGACGCATCTACCGCATCAGATCGATTTACACGGGGCATGGGTTGTTGCTCTGGTCGAAATACAGATTCCTATGACCTTTCTTCACGTGCCAGCACCGCTAAAAGACTGGGATCACGTGGGCGTGGTCACCACCCGCACCAAACCGCGGAAGAACCACAAAGAACCGATAGTGGGCCTTATGATGACGGGTTCTAACGTGGCGCACGGTGTTTACGATGACGTAAAGACACTCGTTGACGAAATAAACGCTACCAGGGCTATGAAGGGCCGTCTGAAATTAGAGCTCTGTAGAGGTGGTTACGCGAGCGTATCGTTCGTCTCTACCGATAACGATCTAGACGACCCGCACGAGCTGAGACTCTGCCGATCTCTGGCACGCATCCTAGGTTTTCCCGAATCGGTCGTGGTATCGAAAGCAAAGCCCGTTGTGATGGCTGATCAGCCGATTAGCGTGATCAGCGCCCTACCTAAGATGCTTTTTGTTTACACCGATGTCTGTGAGCCGTATATCACCGGCGACGTCCAAACACCCTTGCTGCGTGTAGTTCCCCTGCAAAC